TACTTTTATTAGTAATTTAAACATAAAAAAGTGCCATAAGTTGGCATAAGTTGTCTAAAACATTATAGTGTGTGACAGGGTCTTCAGACTTTTAAATAAACTACTCTACTCACAGACGTATCAAACAGTATATTTTCACTCATCAGCAGATTTGTCTTGTAACTGCAGTCAGTTTTTAGCCAATCTTCCAAAGACGTACATGGACTTAAATCTGCTTTGTTAGACTTGGATTCCTTTGTTTCTTCTTTGGCTGAGTTCACTTTCTAAAGCCTCCTCATGCTGTTATTCTCTGTGCCTGTCATCTGACAGGTCTATTCTGGTTCTCCTTCATCAGAATGGTCGTATATTCTGCTTTTAAGTCCACATAACAGTTTTCTTTTCACACAGACAGAATAATTAAATAAAAAACTTAAAAAATTTAAATTAATAAAAAATATAAAAAAACACGCACACACGAGGCAGGACATTAGCTGCAGAAATCGCAGATTCAAAATGTCCTCTGTATTTATATCAATGCTAAAATGAACATTTGGACTTYAAGGAATAATTGAAACTTTTTTTAAAGGAATCTACAGAAAATTAGTGAACAATAATATCTTACCTGTTGTAGATAGCTCTTGTAACATTGTTCATCATAAAAGTGGAACAACACATACAGAGAAAACCAGAACWTTAKKTACACTATATAAATAGACACAGATTTTTTCACACTGTCTGATGTGAAATCGGAAGAAACCTTTCCCATTTAAGGTCAAACAGGATTATCAAATTATTTTCTAAATGCCAGAATAATGAGAGCATTTTTAAGGCAATTTGGATTACCTTTTCTAAAGTCAGAAGTTTAAAGATAATTATAAATTTAAACTATTTGGGACATTTGATGTCATGTCTTTGGAAGCTTCTGATAAGTTTATTGATAACATCTGATTTATTTAGAGACACACCTGTGGATGTAATTAAAGGCYCACCTGTCACACATTGGACCTCATGCAAGAACATGTTTGTATTCTTATCCTAAATTTCTCTTACTTTTGTTCGTATGAAGGGTTCACATGAACATGCCACATCAGATTCAAAACTCTTCCATCTATAAGTGTGTAAATGATCAGCGTGAACTGATGAATGCGTATCAGATGCTCACGCACAAGGAGAGGAGATTTGCATAATTACCACCCTAAAAACACTCAGACTTTAGCCTTGTGCGAGCTGGGACTTGGTCTGCAAGTGGTTCTGCTGAGGGTCACGGGCCGGCTGTGGTTCCTGGACTTATGGAATTGATCTTAGAGAAGCTGATAGCTCGGCAGAATTGCCCACACTATTTGTCTGATTGGATTCGCCACATTGGATGTACCAGTGGACATTAAGGGGGATGGAAAATTATTATTGTCTGCCTGACCGAAAACATTTTCTCTGTTCCCAAACAACTGATTACAGATTAGATTGAAGTCCTGCTCTGAGAGATCCAGAAAAGAAAATCTGTCAGTTTTAGCAGTGTCAGCTGTGGAATCAAACTAGGAACTGCTAAAGCCGAGGAATGAAATGATGACTGCTGTTAATGTTGTGTCTCCCGTGGGTCGTACTGTATACAGTCACAGAAATAAAAATCTAAATCATGTATTTCTCTCTCTAGTCCTGCTCCAGTTTCCCTTTGCTCAAATATTTTTAATTTAAGTGTAAACAACTGTGTTACACAGTTTTCATTTACTCAGAAGAAGAGAAGTCACGCACCGCTACCCCATGCATTTCTGGAAAAAAAAAGGCATTTTAAAATGTCTCCAAACTTCAATTCACTTCATATTAATATTGTAGTGTTGTACAACAGCATTCATAGCCAATTTAATTTAATTTAACAAATTTATGTTGTTAATCTACATTATTACATTTAAACTTATAATCCCAATTCAAACAGAATAGCCTATTTTCAACAAAAATATGGAGTGTGATTTATTTTCAACTCTGAATATCTCCAAACTAATGAAATATAAAGTTAATAGTGAAGAAAATCTGGATAACAGCAGACTGACTGCACATAAAATATACGACAGGTCTGGACCACTCGTGAATTTTGTTCGGATCTGAAAAAAATCTTAGAATACGACAAAATTGGTGAATACCACAAATTCTCCTAAATGATTTGTTTGCACAACATAAGAACAAACATGTTCGTACGAACGGTTCTTGCATGAGGCCCATTGATCCAATGTGTAACATCATGGGAAATAATCCAACACATCAGGAAAAGAACTGTGGACCTACACAACTCWGATTCATCCTTGGGTGCAATTTCCTGATGCCTGAAAGTGCCTCGTTCATCTGTACAAACAATTATGCACAAGTACAAACAAAATGTGAATGTTCAGCCATCATGCCACTCAGGAAGGAGACAGGTTCTATGTCCCAGAGATGAACGTGCTTTGGTCTGGAATGTGCATCAACCCAAGAACAAAAGCAAAGGAGCTGGTGAAGATGCTGGCTGAAGCTGGAAAGAGTGTCATTATCCACAGTGAAACAAGTTCTGTATCCACTTGAGCTGAAAGGCCACTCTGCCAGGAAGAAGCCTTTACTTCAAGAGAAACATAAAAAAGCCAGATTAATGTTTGCAAATGCACACAGGGACAAAGACCTTCATTTTTGGAGACATGTCCTGTGGTCTGACCAAACTAAAATTGAATTGTTTGGCCATGATGACCTTCGTTACATTTGGAGGATAAAGGGGGAAGCTTGCAAGCCTGAGAACACAATCCTGACTGTGAAACACGGGGCAGCATTATGTTGTGGGGTTGTTTTGCTGCACGAGGGACTGGCACACTTGGGGCAGCTGTAGCAGAGTGGTTAGGTGAGTCGTCCTGGAACCAGAAGGTCGCCGGTTCAATCCTCCGTCCAGCTGCCTCAGTTGTTGTGTCCTTGGGCAAGACACTTCACCTCTAATTCCTCTGATGTGTCCCATCAGTGTATGAATGTCATTGGCACTGATTAGTCTCCATAGATAATTGTACATGTTAGCTTTGTAGGAGATCTGGTAGAGTACTGTGTGAATGGGTAAATGAGGACACAGATTGTAGTGTGAAGCGCTTTGAGTGTCCTGGATGGATAGAAAAGCACTGTATAAGTACAGTCCATTTACCATTCACTTCATTAAATAGATGGCATCATGAGGAAAGAATATTAAGTGAAAATACTGAAACATCTTAAGACATCAGCCAGGAAGCTAAAGCTTGGGCACAAAAGGGTCGAAGCATACGGCCTAACTGGTTACAAAGGGGCTCAAGGATACCACAGTCAATGTTTTGGAGTGGTCGTGACAAAGCCCTGATCTGAATCTTAATAAAATTTATGGGTAAAGCTGAAAAGGCATGTGTGAGCAAAGTGGCCTCCAAACATGGCTCAGTTCCACCAGCCCCACAGTGGGGCCCTGTTCCAGCTGTCTCAGTCTTTGTGTCCTTGGGCAAGATACTTCACCTGCCTTGCCTACTGATGGTGGTCAGAGGGTCCAGTGGCGCCGGTGCACGGCAGCCTCACCTCTGTCAGTGTGCCCCAGGGCAGCTGAGGCTACAATGTACCTTACCATCATCAGTGTGTGAATGTCTGTAAATGTAAAGCGCTTTGAGGTCCGGAGGGACTTGATAAGGGGCTGTATAAGTTCAGTCCATTTATCAGTTCTGTCAGGAGGAATGGGTCAAAATTCCTGCAACTATTGTGAGAAGCTTGTGGAAGGAGATCCAAAACATTTGACTCWAGTCATACAGTTTAAGGGCAATGGTACCAATGGTACTTTTTAAAGTTACTAATGTAAAATCGGGCAACATGCACACAAATAGGTTCATAACTATTCTACTTTTCTATTGACTTATACAGAAATTGATTTATAAATGTGTTTAATTGTATTGACAGTGAAATGTTTTCAACATGTAATGTAGTCATAATGACTGCAGAACACAGCAGAAACACAAGTAGATGTGAACACTGTTTGGACTAAGTATGTATGAATCAAAGTTGACATGAAACTATTCAGATCACCACAAATTACCAACTTTGAGAGTGCACATTTGTAACTATTAAAAGGTCTACGCTTCTGGATTTTTTTTTAGCCTGGTAAAAACCAGCTCCTTGTTCTACACTTTGCTTCGTACAGAGGGTCTGGACTCTGAGCTACTGATAAATGATTTCTAGCTGCAGGCATGGAGTCTGCTCACTCTTAAAACAAATACATATGTRTGATTTTAAACTAACATCTGACTGTGACATATGAATGGCGCCAGCACAACTGTGAAGGAAGCTAAGCTAAGAAGCTAACACAAATTTGCGTGTACTGTAAACAACCATCCCCTTCAGGGAAGAGAGAAGTACTAAGCTGAATGAGATGGCTATAAATGATGCTGCAGGCTTTGAGACAAATTCAATTTAATTTGGAAGCCTTGTCAACAGACTGGCTTCATTCACTTCCTCAGCTGCCATTGCTTAATTACAAGTAGACTAAAATAGTCCATAAATTATACATCATCATTCAAAATTCCTCCTTCTGTTCACCAAGTGACCCAGTTGAAATTCTACCTGAGAAATCCTTGTCTATGGGAGAAATCCCAGACGGAGCATTGAAGAGAACTGAGCAGAACTGTGTAGGAGACAAGGGCCAGGCTAGGATTTTTTCGGTTTAACAATCCCTCCGCTTTGACTTCCAGGAAACAAAACACTTGATGTTTATGTTCAGAAAACAGTTTACAGCATTTCTTTGAATCTTTTAAGTGCCTGTTGGACTGAATTCATCACATAGGAGATATGTTTTTTAAGACATTTATTTTGTTTTGAGATTGGATCTTCTGTGTGTTTACAGTAATCCTCTCTTTAAAGTCAGCAGCAGCAATCTCCCATAACGTTACGACTACAAAAGTGATAAACACTTCTTAACACAGATGCCCTTTTTATTGAATTGCCTCTTAATTCTGAAAATAAAAGCTGAACAAACTTTACAAGACAGACAATAAGTTTTACTGAAACTGACGTCTGTTTTGAGGACTTTATTGGTTGAGCACTTAAACATCAGAAATTTGTGCAACATTTGATGTAAAATAAAAGTTATCTTTTGGTTCAAACTACACACAGTATTGCAGTAAATAAAGCAATTTGCTAATTTATATATGCTCAAAAAACAAATTACTTTTTTTTGCTCAAAAAATATCAGAGAGCCAAGAAGCATGTTTTAATTCAGTTGAAATTGTTGTAGGGTAGCTGAATCCTTGACATACGTAGACGCATCATAACTTCACTGTCTCAATTAGTGCAAATTCAGAGTTACAAAAGCCATCAGAAGGGGAAACATAGCTGCATCAGAGCTTCACGAAGACCTTTACTTCACATCTGTCCAAAGTCAAGCTTAGACAAAGTTCAGGTGTGTGTCTTTGTCCACGCCGTAGTTGCCTTTATGTTCTTCAAACAAGTTGCTGAGTTCTTCCATGTACAGCTGGTGGAGGGCATCAAGTTCCTCTGCGGTTGGCTTCTCTTTCTTCTGCACTCTGATTGGCCGGCCCACTGCAGAGAGGTGACAAGGTGCAGGGCAGCATGCTAAGTGCCAGTTCTTTATCTGTTTTATAGTTTGCAGTGTTGCATGGTGCTGTCTGAGATCTGTTTACGTCATGCAAGAGGMCTTATGCGATCCAGAAACACAGGGCTGCAGTGTGCCTGGGATTGCTTTCTATTACATCAAGTCAACCTCTTCATCTGACTTCTGTTTAGATTTTTATTAAGACAATTGAGGTGTTCAGAACACTTTAGGTAACAACATTGGAACTTATCTTTGATGTGTTTTGTTTCTCTCTCACACACTTTGATTTGAGTTGCCCTGTGCGAAGTTAAAATGAATTGATAGGGTACATGGTTACTTAAAGGGATCTCTGATTAGTTGTAACATTAGACTTTATTTGATAAACATACATTTTAACTGTAAAATAAAGACTGTAAAAATGCTGTGGGATGTTTAGTTTTGTAAATTTTTAAAAATATATTTTAACACGGACGGAGTCATTTTATTTACAAGCAAAGCATTCTGGGTAAATGATGATGTCAACTAGGTCATCGGTGCGAGGCTGCTAGCGAGCTATATCCACCCTGAAGGTTAATCTTGGACAATATCTGATGATCGACTCTTTTAAATGAAACCAGAGAGCGTTGACAGAGAGGAGAAGGTAGAAATGACTCAGCCTGTAACTGAAAATACAGAGGGAGGACAACAGAGCTGCTTCATGGAAGAAGAACCTCAGCTTAGCCTGTTAGCGTTAGTGTTAGCCCGGACGCTATCACCATATATATATGTATTAGCTCAGCTCTACACATTCTCCTCTCGTTACTGAGGTCCTCCATCCACATGACAGAGGGGAACACAAAAATGACTCAGTCTGCAAATGAAAATATGGATGGAGGACCTCAGTTTAGCTTGTTAGTTTGTCAAGCTAGCGCTGAGCTAATACATATAAGGCAATATAATGTCAGTGCTAGCACAAAGGCTAACAGGCTGAGCTGGGGTTCTTCTTCCATGAAGCAGCTCTGTTGTCCTCCATCCATATTTTCAGTTACAGGCTGTCATTTCTACCTTCTCCTCTCTGTCAACGCTCTCTGGTTTCATTTAAAAGAGTCAATCGTCAGATATTGTCCAAGATTAACCTTCAGGGTGGATATAGCTCGCTCGCACCAATGACCTATCCACATCATCATTTACCCATAATGCTTTGCGTGTAAATAAAATGGCTCCGTCCGTGTTAAAATATATTTTTAAAAATTTACAAAACTAAACATCCCACAGTATTTTTACAGTCTTTATTTACAGTTTAAAAATATGTTTATCAAATAAAGTCTAATGTTACAACTAATCGGGGATCCCTTTAAGGTACATACTTCATTACAAAAGACATTCAGAGCAAAACCAAGAATTCAATGTGTCTGCAGAGCTCAGACAGAATTATTGCAAGTTGTGGTTCTAAAGAAGGCTACAAAATATTTCTGCTGGACCGAAGAGCACACTGACATCCATTATTCTCAAATGGAAAAGATTTTGGGATAACCAGGACCTTACCAAAAGCTGGTCAGCTGACCACACTGAGCAGTCGATGGGTAAGAGCCTTAATTAAAGAGAAGACCAACAACCTGCTGACCACTCTAAGTTTTAAAGATCTGGTGTGGAGTTTGGAGGAAGTTCTAGAAGGACTACCAGAGCTGTGTGCCTTTAAAGACTATGTATATGGTAAAGTGACTCAATTGAAGCCTCTCCTCAATGCATACACTCGAAAGCCCAAAAAGTTCTCAGTCAGTTCCTCACACTGACTGTGAGGGACAGGACTTTTTTGTCTGTTGAAACCACCATTTGGTCTAAATTTTACACATGATGTCTGGAGGAAGCCAGGTACTGCCCATCACCAGCCCAACATCATGCCAAAACTACACCAGGGCTGAGGACCTCAAGGACCGGAATTGACTATCCCTGATCTAAAACATATTATATATACACAAAATAATCAGTTCTCTCAAATATTGTTCACAAATATGTGTTGGGGGCACTTCTCTTTTGCAGAGATAATCCATCCCACCTGTCGCATATCAAGATGCTACTCTCCAGACATGTCACCCAGTGAGCATGTTTGTGATGCTCTGGATCAGTGTATACAACAGCATGATCCTGTTCCTGCAAACATCCATCGACACGGCCATTGAAGAGGAGTGGACCATTATTCCACAGGCTACAATCAACATCCTGATAAACTCTATAGGAAGATGTGTTGCACTGCATAAGGCAAATGGTGGTCACACCAGATACTGACTGGTTTTCAGACCGCACAGTAAAGCAAAACATCACATTTCAGAGTGGTCTTTTATTGTGGCCAGTCTAAGGCACACCTGTGCAATAATCATACTGTCTAATCAGCATCTTGATAAGTCACACCTGTGAGGTGGGATGGATTATCAATACAAAGGAGAAGGGCTCACTAACAGATTTAAACAGATTTGTGAACAATATCTGATTATTTTGTGTTTATAGAAAATGTTTTAGATCTTTGAGTTCAGCTCATGAAAAATGGGAGCAAAAACAAAAGTTTGAATTTATATTTTTGTTCAGTGTAGTCAATTTACAAAATTGTCTGAAAATTTTGTTTTCACTCAGTCATTATGGGGTCCTGAGTTTAAGTTATTGGGAAAAACCTAATGATTGTAGCATCAGGCCTCACCATAACAAAATAGCAAGAAATGAAGGGGTCTAAAAGCTCTCTTTACTTACTGTATCAACAGTGGCTTCCACGCCAAATTTATTCTACATATAAGAGCCTTTTCATTTAAAAAATGAAAGGGGTCATGATAGAATGTATCCAAAGATGAGCTCATCAAACATGTACTGTACTCATAAAAGAATGATCCAAACTGCTGACTCACCTATCGTATGAATAGGTCTCCTGTAGGGCAAGAGACCAAAGGAGTACTGGAAAATGCCACGAGCATGGAACAGGGGCAGCGAGATGCCCATGATGCTTTGCAGCCGTTCCTGTATCCACCTGAGCCAGGTTCCTCTTGGGTTTTCTACTTGGTCATAAAGTTCATTCTCTCCGAAGGAAAAAACTGGCACCAGGTGAGCTCTAAAACATGTTTACAACAAAGACAAAAGAAATGTTCTCTGTTTTACATCATTTTCTCATTTTAGAAAAAAAATTGTGCTTTCCCAGGAAATTCCATGCAAGTGACTTGAATGAGCCTCTGTTTGAAGAGACCACACAAAGGGCTTAAAAAAAGACCATAATCCATTCAAGAAACAGTCAAACTTTAGAGAATTAGTTGCAGCAGGAATCATCTGTTTTTACCCCAGGGTTGTCAGCACTCACCCATGCTCCATGGCCATTTTGATAAAGCCTTTCTTTTTGGCCAACATCACGTTGAAGGAACCTGGGTGGGCATCAAGGGCCTCTGGAGCTCCACCAACAGCTATCACAACAGCACTGCCACCACGTCTTTTGCGGAGTGGATAACTAGCACTTTCTTTGTCTGATGGAATAAGACCTGCCGATTTGGAACAGAAAATGAGTCAAATAAAACGTCCAGAGGAACTACTCCACCTTTTTTAGAGTCAAATAAAACATGTTACCTTTTTAAAAGCAATTTTTGTCAGCTTAAACACAAACCAGTTATGTACTTGTGGTGTTCCATGGGATTGATCCTGGGGAAACTCCTTTTTAACATTGGCTTCCCTTCAGTTTTGTTTCATAWGCTGATGACAACCAGCTCTACCTGTATGCTAAACCCATTTGTATACTTCTTCTTGACCTTAACTTACTACATTTCACACTGTGTTCGCACTGCTACAACCTCTGCAGTAAAAATGCACCCATTACAATCTACCAAAATTACATTCTATCCTATTTTTGCCGGACGGCGGAGCAAACACAGAGTCACTAAAGATCCCACTGCACCAACAGAAAAAGGAACGAGCACAACATCCGTATTTTCAAAATAATTCAAAGACTACATTTTGTCAAAATCCTAGGTATATTAATAAATGCATGGTGTAGTGACTTCGATTCACAAAAAAGCTGCTGCCAGCTGAGAAATTTTTGTTCCGTGATGCGTCTCCCAAAAAGAGGCCATCCATGAGTCCGCAAGAGTTTTATGCATTTAATTTAAAAACAAAAATTAAACTGTAAGGACAATGCTTGAGGCATAACTACGATAACACTATGACGATGATGACAACGATCAACAAGTTTTTTTRCCAAAAACTCTCACCCAGCTGCCCGACGGGACACAAGCTTCACCTGAGTGCCTGCGACCAACCCCCTTATTTCTATTACCTGAGGTGCAGCAGGACTAATGTAAACACCTGTGCCACCAAAAAACAGGTAAACAACAAAAACATTAATTATGGCTCCTACATATGGGTATACTTCTACAAACATACTGTCAAAATTTATCATTCTGTTTGGGAAGCAGATGACAACATGCAGCATGCATTACATGCAAACACACAAAACGTGGATTTTATTTTGAAATATAGATTTAAAAAAACAGCGATGCGGTTTTAACTGTTGTCTGTCTTCCACAGAAATAATTGATTTGGTCTGACTTCTTAATTTACCACTGGATTTATTGCACGATCTGACATTTGCTGTGCTTCTCAGAGCACCTCAGTGTGTCACAGCAGAGCAGGCATTGGGGTGGAAACGAATGACAACGAACTGTGCAGCGCAGCAGAGCAGAACTGCGTGCATCAGATGACACCAAGAACTGGTTTGTTAAACATTTCCTCAAACTTATAGAAAACAAAACTGAGTTTCTTCTTGTTAGCTCCTGGTCCATCTGCTCTAAATCTTCACATTTCACAGTCACTGTCAGCAATTCCACTATCCCTCCCTCCCCCCGTGTGTCACCTTGGTACAATCAGCTGATCTGCTTATTTTTATTTAGGAACAATTAACTCTATTCACAAGTCACTCACAGCTAAACCCTTGTTTCTTCTTGCATTGGTGAGTGTAATTCTTTTTTCTACGACACAAATTAAGCAACAAATTTATTTTGGTTCAGAATTCTGCTGCTCACATTCTCAAAACTCCAACAACTGAATAAATCACTTAATTTTTTTAAACTTGTGTTTGTACAGGACATGACCAGCTACCATCAGTAATTTATGAGCAACCCAATTTGCACAATTGTTTTATGAAAAAGCCTAGACATATATCTGTAAAATCTTTTTTTTTATAGTGTTTTGCCAGTTTTAAATGTATGTTGTGCGGGTTATAACTGTAGTATTTGCTAGCATTTTTGCCTGTTTAATCAATGGCCCCATGAATAAGTTTGTATTATTATCATTGTTATTATTATTATCAACAATACTGACATAAAAATGCTTTAAATTTCGGAGGGAGTGGAACTGGAAGTCTGATTGGGATTGAAAGTGTTTGGTCCTTACCAGCACACATGAGGTAGTCTCTAAAGAATGGAGCTCTGAACCACAGAGGCAACATCAGCAGGTAGCTGGTAAGGCCTGGAAACATCTCCCTGAAGCCTGTAGCACAGGTGCAGAAGTTTGTAAAGCCTCCTGCCACCAGCACACCATGAGGATGGAAGCCCAGGATGTAGTTGTGTCTGGGGTCCAAGTCAGCTGTCTTCACTAGCTGAGAGGGGAAACGAGAAGAGTGTGGAATCAAATAGGGCTGGGCGATAAAACAATAACAATACATATCTCACGATAGACATATGATTGATATCAACAGAAAATATGTTAGAACAATGATAACTAGCAGAAGTTTATGAAATTTGCMTAGYGAAATAAAAAAATTATGGACAGACCAGGAACAGAGATTGTGACAACACACAATAACAGCTGTAAAATCACTATTCAGCTTCTCTATCCAAGCCAGCAGAATTTATGCTTTATTTGTCTTCCTCTGGCTTCATAAAACAACTGATGTCACCACCTCGCTGCTCACAAAGTTTATGAAACTTATGGAGGGGAGGGAAAAAATATGGACCTGAAACAACAAACCTCAACTACTGAAGCTAACTATGTAGCTTAACTATATAGCTCAGCAAGGTTGGTGCAATCAAAGGCTATGTTCACACAGCAGGTCTTAATGCTCAGTTCTGATTTTTTTTTAAAAATCTGATCTTTTTGTGTGAACGTTCACATTACATTTTAAATGTGACCTGTATCAGACCCCTGTGTGAACGCTCCACAGCACTGATGTGACACGCATGCGCAGTAAAAGACGTGACGTGTCATCAGCCGGCTTGTTTGTTTACAGAGCTAGTGTGGATGCTACATTTTGCACATCGAGTCAGAAGTTGTTTAATCAGAGCCGATTAAATAATTATCTGACCTGCTTCTTGAGTTCAGTGTTTATATCTGAAGCTGCCTCTGACCGGGATGCTCCAGTGAAGCTTTTTTTTTTTTT